TTTGCAGCTCTTCAGAGTCTGATTTTGCCCCTCCCTCGCCCCGGCCTAACCGCAGGGTCTCCCGCCCTCAGGCCCTCTATGGCAGCCCCCTCGCCATCCCGCGGATATCGACTTTCTGCTCTGACCCTTACAGGAATCCCCTTGGCAGTCCTGTAGGAAGCCACCTCCTGCCTCGCAAGCTTTTTCCTTGCAGTCATGTGACCTCTCCTCTGGCTACCCATCCTTTCAGCAGCTTACCCACTGTAGCTGGTACATCCTCCTTCAGCAGGTACAAGGGTGAGCTCTCCCCAGAAGACTTGGGCTTCAACGGCAGCCCTTGGGTCCAGAGATGTAAAAATGCCGCCCAGGTCATTCAGCCTGAGATGGGCGGCTCTGTGTCACCCAATCAGATAATGAGGTATTTAAGTGTCCTGGTTGTGCGCCAGCCTGTCGGCCCTGATGGCACCAAAGGGTTTCATAACTGCATTGGTAGAGGGAAGAGTCATACTGACTCCACTAAAGATGGATTAAAAAGTCTCTTTCCCCACTGAGTCTGTATGAGGGCAGTGCAACAGAAGCGCTTTTAATGCAACATAACTACTATTTTTATCTGTCCTATTAATGAAAATGGAAAAAGTCTAATTAAATATTGAAATAAAGATGAATTTGTACTCCGATTTTCCTGAATTTAATATATTGTTTAATATTAGGATTTGAGTTATGTCCTGCATATCCACCTTTTTCCTAACAAGCCTACTGCATTATAGATTATAGGAGGTACTTCCGGTTTGGGGAAACACTGAAACCATTTCAAATCGTAACATTGTTCTACAAATATTCTGTTTACAGACAACAACGTTATCAAAACAAACCCTGTTTGCACAGATCAGCTTAAAATGCTGTTATGCATTCTAGGTCAGTAATTGGCAATGAAACTTTGTAAAGAAACACTTTGCAAACATGTAATACGCATCACTTTTTTCACAAATTGATGTTTTTGTCGTTTACACACAGACAATAGCTGTATCGTTTTAAACTTTGAAACACGTTTCCAAAAATGGCATAGTCGTGTAACTGAATGGCCAAAATGCATATAATATTGCTAAGTCTACAATATATCCCATGAATAATTTACTGTAGTGTACTAAGGGGGCATTTACACAACACCATTCTCAACAAAAAACGGAAAACTTCATTTACACAACAACGGGTCCTGAAATCACAAACTTTTGGAAACGGGTTTCAAAGTGCAAATGAAAATGATACAGTTGTCGTTTCTGTGTAACTACTAAAACAAATTTGTGAAAATAGTGACGTCATGTAAGTGCATATCATGTGTTAGGTCTATAAGTGTGTGACATCGCCAACTACTGGTCTTGCATGCATAATACAGCGCTTTTAGTTATTTTCATGGATCCGTGTGAATGGGGATCATTTTGACAATGTTGTCGTCTGTATGGGAAACTTTTCAAAAAGAGGAAAAACTTTTGTTTTGTAGTGGGCTATATTGGTGTACCATTGCATCTTTGAAATTGCGTACAGATGGCAAGACTACCAAAACGATCCCTGTTCACACAGATCCACGAAAACAACTAAAAATGCTGTATTATCCATGCAGGGCCAGTAGTTGGCGATGTCCCTTTATAAAGAAACAGTAAGGTTTTTTATCTTTTTCTACCCAGATGCTTTAAAATGTAATCGTCTCCCTTTTCCACTTCTCATTCCCATTAGCAGTGTTTACTGGAATGTTTCAATAGCATCTGTCAAAATGACAGAAATCACTCTGAAATATGATCAAGGCTCTAGTTAATGAACATTTATAAGGCAATGTATGTTACATAATAAAGGCATATATTACTACAGTGATATTTAACATGTCTAATATTGAAATAAGCCAGCTTTAGGGGTAATTCATGGCCTGTTGTAGTAATTGTTAGTTATTTTACACTTTTAAATGTCCTTTTAATGTTCAGTGGTTGAAGGGTGATTAAAGTAACCTCATTGTACCCAGTTTTTGAAAATGCTTCTTGCATTTATACAGTGAACCTTTCGCAGGGAAGTTACTCCCCTAATTCGCACAAAGCATCAGGAAGAAGTACACAATTGAGATATTTAGCACTGAAGAAAACAAAAATATTAATTTGTATTTTTCAGAATAAATAACTCCATTGAACAAGTAACCATGGGTCTTTTAGGCACTGCTTTACTTTATCTGTAGAGAAAAATGTTAGCAAACACACTTCTGTACAGGGCACTAGCAAGACAAATATGACATGCCCCAATATGTAAAGTTACCATGCTGCAGGTCAGAACCACATGTAACTCTTAAAGGAACACGCCACTATTTATGAAAATAGGCTCATTGTCCAACTCCCTTAGAGTTAAACAGTTGAGTTTTATCGTTTTCGAATCCATTCAGCCGATCTCCAGGTCTGGCGGTAGCACTTTTAGCTGTAGCTTAGCATAGATCATTGAATCGGATTAGACCGTGAGCATCTCGCTCAAAAATGACCAAAGAGTTTCTATACTTTTCCTATTTAAAACTTGACCCTTCTGTAGTTACATTGTGTACTAAAACTGATGGAAAATTAAGAGTTGCGATTTTCTAGGCCGATATGGCTAGGAACTATACTCTCATTCCGGCGTAATAATCAAGGAACTTTGCTGCTGTACCAGCACGTGAAAATAGTCCCCAGCTAGGTAACTTCCAATAAGCCTATTTTCAGGCGCTGCGTAATATCATTGCGCCTGCTGCACCCATGGTACGGCAGCAAAGTTCCTTGAACTAATCAGATTCAATGATCTATGCTAAGCTACAGCTAAAAGTGCTACCGCCAGACCCAGAGATCGGCTGAACGGATTCGAAAACAGTAAAACTCAACTGTTTAACTCTAAGGGAGTTGGACAATAAGCCTATTTTCATAAATAGTGGCGTATTTAAAACAAACACGAAAATATTGTGTAACCATCACATCTTTACCAGGACACACGCTGTACATGAATAATGCCCCATCATCGGTACACTCATTCACTACAGTATGGCTCCCCTCCATCTGGCTTCCACAGCTTGACTCTAAATAAATATGGCAAAATATGACAGGCTTGCATAGACTTGATTTTGCTAGGTCGAATTAAACGGTCAAAAACAACTAAATGAATTTAGTGAAAGGCCTATACCATATATATATATATATATATATGTACTGGCATCACATTAGAACTGAAATAACAGTGAGGACAGCTGTTTTACGTGTACATGTAAAAATGTAACATGCTTCATATTCAGCAAACAAAAACAAGTGCTTTTACACTCTTTTTACGATTTCTCAACCATGAGCCAGTAGATGTGTAGGCAACAGCTTTAGCTTACTTGGATTTGCTCTGGTGAAGCTCTATTTTAAGTGCTAACTGTTTAATCAAGTGAGGCTCTCAGGGAACAACTTCACTGCAGAGATCATTTAATTACATACAATGCACCTTAAATTACAGCGTACGATTGGTGTCACACTGACTGTCACTAACAGCAGCCTTGAGCTTCAGCGCCTCGCTCAACAGCACAATCTCAAAAACTCCTGTTTTGTGGATTACTCCCATGATTGACTTCTGAGTTTCCAGCACAAAACTTTAATATGAAGTAACTTCAGGGGAGGAAAATACTTTCACGGTTGTTGAGGAACGTTCTACGTTAGCATTGGTTAAGACAACAGCTAACATGACATATCAATGAACAATATTTTTACAGCATTTATTAATGTTAATTTCAAATAGTATAAATTAACATGAACAATAGTATATTCGTAAATAAACATATTAATAAATACTGTAAAAACAATGTTCTTTTTTCCTTATTTTACCGAATGCATTAACAAACCTAATTGTAAAGTATTATTTTTCAAATTAAAATTTGTTCAAAAGAACTAAGGGATAGTTCACCCAACCCAAAATTTAAGACATATTTAAGCAGTTTTAATATATATATATTTTTAAAAGCCCCCAACGTTAGGGCTCGATTGATTTCCTGTATGTATTGTGTTTCTGAGGAAAAAGTACACACTTTAGATATTTAGCACTGAAGAATAACAAAATAATTTATTAGAATTTTTCTGAATAAATAATTCCATCGAACAAGCAACCATGAGTCTTTTAGGCACTGTTTTACTTTGTAACAACAAAATGTAACAATTAAAAATCACTTATATTCCACATATGTATGTATGACTTCCCTTCTTCCGTGGAACACAAAATGTGTGGGGTTTTTTTTCATCCATTGGATCCAAACATTGTTCAAAGTGTCCGCTGTGTTATACAGAAGAAAGTAATAGAGGTTTGGAACCCGGTCAAGACATGAGGCTGAGTAAAAGACAAGATTTAAAATGTGGGGTAAACCATTCCTTTAAATATGCTTTCCAGCATAGGTATGCAAAATATTGTGTTGCATTTTAATATGGGAGTTTGAGGCCAAGGGTCATTTGTACATTGTCAATGACTGCTGAAATTGTTCACCGAGAGGCATTAACAAAACAGCAAGCATGCAACATCAGAGTATATTGCATCTTCAAAACATTTTCCCAGATGCTCTTTGTAAAACAGGACTGGATAAAAAACCAAGCAGGTGGACTGCCTGTAACAGATCATTTCAATGTAAACTTTAAAAACATTCTTCTCTAATATTCATGTAATGCAATAAATCCATAAGGTATAAACAGCTGAGAAATATATCATAGCATATGCAAATTTAAAGTTAAAAAGGGATGAATAAAACAAGTTAACCAAAATAAAACAACTATCTTAAACTGAAGCTTAAAAAAAAACACCTGTTCCATTCAGTAATGAGAAGAACTGAAGCGGTCTGAGGGAGCTGATTGGCATGTCACTATATTCTAATTTGTTGAGATAGTGAATTGGTGGGTTTTTCTTAAATGTGAGCCAAAATCATCACAATTAAAAGAACCAAAGACTTAAACTACTTCAGTCTGTATGCATTGAATTGATTTAATACACGAGTTTTACAATTTGAGTTGAATTACTGAAATAAATGAACTTTTCCATGACATTCTAATTTATTGAGAAGCACCTGTATAAGATACGTGGCATACTTGCATCAATTTGCGCATAGATTTAGCCAGAATTGACCAGGCATTCTCTCTTTACAGTAGAATCCCATTCACACTCCATTAACCTGCATTATGATACAATGGATATTTTAACCAGACATCGAATCAATTGTAACTATCAAAGCACACAGGCTGCTAAACCTGAGATGAGGAGCAGTTGAATTGAGACGCTCATACTGTGGTCCCAAACACAACCCCATCTAATTCCTGATCGTCTGAGTCGTCCTCGCTGAGGGAGAAGTCTTTGTGGTTGGAGAGGCGGCTGGGGCTGCAGTTGGACTCTCCGTCCGTGAAAGAGCTGTTGGTCGTGGGCTTCCCCGTTCTCTCTGCCTCGGCCATCTGGGCCAGCATGCTGTCCAGAAATGGACGGCTTTTGCAAATGCTGTCCAGCAACTGACATCGGTGTTGTAACTGTCCGATTAGAGAATCTTTTTCCTTAATCGTTTGGTTGAGTTTATGGATGGATTCCTCTGATTGACAAAGCTTCTCATGGAGGAAGAAAATCTCTCTACATGAAAAACAGAGAAAAAAATGTCCTTTTCAGCAAATTACCTTATTAATTAAAGCTGCAATTTAAGCACCAATCAGAACAGAGCGGTTCAGTCATAACATTCATTTGTAGGCCAATCTGGACGGCTAATTCACCCTCAGGAAATTGCAAATATTTTTTTAGAGTGGCAGTTGGTGATTTATTAAAGGGATCATTCACCACAAAATGAAAATTCTGTCATCATTTATTCCAAACCTGTACGAGTTTCTTTCTTCTGTCAAACGTAAAGATAATTTGAAAAGTGTTGGTAACCAAACAGTTGCTGATCTCCATTGCCATATTATGGAAAATTAATTCATACAGATTTGGAACAACATGGGGGTGAGTAAATGACAACATGTTCATTTTTGGGTGAACTGTCCCTTTAAATTCTCTGGTTAATATTACTTGAAGAGATTTTCATGTTTTGTTCTGCAAAATAAACTATACAGCCATACTTCAAATATGAACATTGAAGCTGATGTGTTTTTTGTTTTAAAACAGTTGCTATATCAGGACTATAATGGCGGTTTGATATGTCTATTAAGTAAAATTCATGTCTTTTTAAAATTAATGTTTGAGGTATGACTGAAAAATTCAGCACGCTAAAGTTTCCAATTCTAACCACAGACCTTGTCACATAACATAAAAAATAACATAGCAAACCCATGGAACCAAAAAACAATGTCAAAGGAATTGTTCATCAAAAATGAAAATTTGCTGAAAATGTACTCATTTTCAGCTGAAAGTCAGGAAAGGAAAATAAGAAAGTTTCTTCGTCGGTGGCCGTGCCTTTGTAGACGGCGTTGAGATTTCTCCACCCACTTAAACTACGAGGGATGCCCTACCATAATTAAGGTGACTGGAACTGGAAGAAAATAAATGTTTACAGCCTCTTTCAGTGCAAAGGTACTCTCCTTCTTACTTTATTTAAAGACTTGAATGAGACTCCAGTTAAAATTTATGCATAATTTTATTTATTTGTAAGGCTTTTTTATGACTAAATTTGGTAATGGGAGAGTAAAAATATTTTTAAAATGTACACCGTTCAAACTAGGCTGCTTATGTTGAAGTGTTTGGGATGTGGCTTTTAATGATGAGACCTTTTTTGTAATCAGGCTCTCAAAAAGTATATAACAATTTGGATATAGATTTATCGGCCAACATATCGGTTATCGGCTTTCAAAAATAAAGAATAATCGGTTATCGGTATCGGCCAAAATTTTCATATCGGTGCATCCCTAACATTTTTGGAGGTCACAATGGGGACTAGATTTATGGTTATCTCACGGCACTACTCATTCTGCTGGGGTTTGTATCTTGAAAAATGGATTTAAAGGGAAAATATTAAGTTCTGAGTGTGATACGTCTGGACATTACATTTTACTTGCCCTTAAAATTTTAAATTCAACCTGTATTATTATTATTAATGTTTATGGTTTCAACTTACAAAGAGGGAGGTGGGATTTAGTGACTTCTTTTGTAGATCTATTAAAATGCTTTATACTAATTGCAATAGCTCTATCAAACTTAGCAGCGGTACCTCTCCCAGATTTACTCTGAATCGGGGAGTCAGGCAGGGATGCCCAATCACTCCATATCTGTTTCTAATAGCTACCAAACTTCTAAATTTGCATATCAGAGAAAGTCCTTTAAAAGGAATAACTGTTGATGACACTGAAGTGGTAATAAGTCAGTTAGCTGATGACACCTTTTTGTTTTTGAAGGATGCCTCTCAGGTTGCGGTAGCATTAGAGTCTCTTAAGCCCTTTTCTAAAGCCTCAGGTCTTCGCCTTAACATTAACAAATGTGAGTTACTCCCAGTTGGGAATTGTTTGGAATCCTTAATATGTAATATTCCTGTAAGAGAGAGTGTTATTTATTTGGGAGTTAAAATAATTAAAGATGATAAAATTAGATGCCCTTCCAATTTTCTTCCGATTTGAAAAGACACGTAAGTTGTTGAATCATTGGTTGCAAAGAGATTCATCACTCAAAGGCAGAGTTCTGCTCACTAAAGCAGAAGGTATCTCTCAATTATCATATGCTGCTCAATCGATCTCGGTTTGGAATAATGTGGAGGGTTTCGTTGCCGATAATATTTTTAAAAGATTTTCCTTCTCTTATGAACATGTGATTTTGGGTTATTATCAAGGATCGCTCTTTAAAGGATGTTGGTTTTATCATCAATTTTATGTAAAGTTCACATTCATAAATGCAAGTTTACAAAAGGCAAACCTCTTTTTATGGTGCTTGGAAAAGAGATTAAAATGTTTGTAGATGTGATGTCAAAATCTAAAAATAGTAAAGCAACTAAAACAATTAATATATGTTCCACCTTTAACATTTTCACATAATATAAAAAAAAACAATAATAATAATAAACAATGGTGCTGACCTGCAAAGTATATTTTCTGTATTAAAATTTGCTTTGTAATATCCTATGGAAATGTAAATACATGTATTTGTCTGTAAACTGATGCTTATGTACCCTCTTTTTTCCCCTTTCCTTTTCTTTTTCCTTCTTGTTGAGGCATGTTATATAGTGAGATATGGCACTGTACATGCTACTTGTTGACAATAAGGATTATAAAAAATAAAAATTCTAATTTGTGAATTTCAAATGCAAAAGGAATTGCGATTCCATTTGAGTTTTGGCAGGTTACATGCGCGACGCAGCGAGAGTGAAAAAGCAGACCTGGTAATTAATATTGCTATTTAATATGACAGGCTCATAACTCCTAAGACATGGGAAATACAGCTGCTTTTTCATTTGAAATGTGGCAGTCACTGTGCGTTCGCGAAAGCGAAAATGCAAACGCTAATGCAGGATTTGCAATTGCATTTGGATTATGTCACAGTTTATGCGTCCACATATGGAAAACGCAATTGAAAATACAATTTGCAATTGCTTTTGAAAATAGTCCGGACTATCCTTCACCCGTCTGGCATTTCTCGCACATGCAAAAGAGCAACAATATGTAGGCCTAAGTGCTGGGACAAGTCCCGGTTAGTCTAATGCAGTACACGTAACAAGTTATTTATTTATTTTTTCATCATAATAAAAAGAAAACAAGCCCCGCCCCCTCACAACATTAGCAGCTCTTGTTCTGATTGGTTAACGGCGGTCTGTTTGGCTTTTTAAACAGTCAAGAGCTGTCATAGTGACGGGAGGGGTTTCTAGACCACCGTGATATCTGTTAGGTATCTGCTACATTTGACTTCAGGGATATTTTTATGCAAAAGTCGCCTACAGCAGCTTAGTTGAGCTTTATGACTTAGCAAACGCATGGTTTTGATGTCAGGTAATACAATATTAGGCATCTACAGAAGGACACGATTGTGTTACAGCAGTAAATATATTCTTTGCCCTACTTGTCCTTGGCCTCCGTGATTTCTCGCGTGGCAGCTCTCAGTTGCTCGTCTTTGCGGATGAGACTCTCGGCCTGCTCCCGCACGGTTTTCTCCGCGTCCTCCAGCCTCTGCTCCAGGTCTGAGACCCGCCTGTGCAGCGCTGCCAGGTGCGCGTTCGCCTCTCTGATCTGCACCGGCGACGGGGACGACATGTCCAGGAGGATGCGGAAGACAAAAGCTTTAGTCCGGTAAGCTCTCTCTCTCTCTCTCTCTCTCTCATCCACGATAACGCCGCGCTGCTGGGCTGATCATCTTGTGTGGGTCGTGTCGGATGAGTCCAGGCTGAGAGATGCTGGACTCGCTCTCAATCTCAGCATGCGTGATGCTACAGCTGCAGTCTTCTTCTTCAGTGAACCTTCGCGACTGTAATGCAGTAACTACAGTCGGCAGTGCGCGTTTAAATGCAGCGCGGAGGTTTATGACATTGTGCTTTATAAGCAGGTGTCGCAGTTTGTGCTTGTTTTCCAGCCAGGCTGACGTGTCATCTGCACCAACTTCTTAGCAACCTGTAGCTGCTGACCCGGAAATTATATTTAGAGCCACTGGCCAATCAGGATAGCCGAAACAGAGAAGCAGCAGTGATTACAAACTGCACTTTCCTCCAAACAAACTTGGATGCTTCTTTTGGGCCTGTACATTTATTAAAATATGTTGTCCAGACGATATAGTCCGGTAAGCTCTCTTGTTTGTTTGTAATGTAGCTCAGTCATTCTTGAGAAGTGGGACAAAACAGGGTGCAAAATTGAAAAAATAAAACCTTGTACTCAGACAAATGAAACTACATTTATGTATCTTATATGTACTAAGCTACTGAGCTATGCTTTGATACAACCTCCCAACTTTTCTCTTTTTTAACAAAATGTGCTTTTTTTTTTTACCTTGGACTGTGTAATATAATCTCAACTTTATCTTTAACAAGCATTCAAGATGTTTTTAACATTTCAAAACACATTCTCGTGTTAGCAGACAGATTACACTTTCACATGTGACCAACAGTTCCACAACAAATATGAAATATCATAGTGAAATATTATCAAAATATTCAACTGACGGAGGAGACGAAAACCTGAATTTGTAATCATTTTAACTATCAAATACATTGAATCAGTCAATTATTAAAACAAACAGGGAGTATGTTATTGTTTATAAAGCTTTTATTCAAGAGTCACATTTAAGTATTTTGATATATCATTGGAACACAAGATCTTATGGTGGTGACATCTGACGGTGTTGACAAATTTGGCATTTCTTTCACAAAATCAGTGAGTTCATGTAGTAGCATTACATTTTTTTCTGTTGATGCTAGATGCTAATGGAACCTGCTTCAGGAGGATAAAAGAGGATAAAATAATTTCCTCAGAAATTGGAAGATGGTGTTGACATATCATGACTGTGACACAGGAAATATTAACATTAGGATTTAAAATATTCTAAAACAAACTTAGCAGAGCCTGTCTGACACTGATGTACTCTGCAGAGGTGAACTGTGGCAAGGGGGTCCTTTAGAGTGACAGCTACCCCTGATATTCCCTGATTTTATTACATTTTATTGAATGTCTGACGGTGTTGACAAAAAGTGGGGACGCAACTTTAAAATC